CAAGAGAGCTTTGCCTCCCTAGCCTACATCCACCAGTGCATGGTGGGATGGGCCACAAATGCACCCCCTGCCCCCAGGACCATGACTCATCAGCAAAAAGAAAAAATGTGACACAAAACTTCAGGGGTGGGAAGTGAAAACATGACTCAGGACATCTTGAGGTTCCAGATGGGGCTCCAGGGAGAAAATATAATGGGGGTCAAGGCTGGAGGTTACATTACAACAGTTACTGAGCTGAAATGAATAGTATATTTAATTTCCTTGACAGCTTTAATTGGCTGGTTTAAACCTAGTAAGCATCTGGGGAAGCCAGATGTCCTACCATCCAGAGCTTGCTGAAGTTAACTGTTTTTCTTTGCAAAAGATAGGATGACCAGGGATACCAAGAAGTTGAGCTTGGGAGAAGAATGTGTGCATTTCTAAGAACTCCCTAATAACTATCATGCAGCCAGGAAGGAGAATGCTGGAAGCCACTGGGAACCAGCCCTTTATGGTCTGTAACAATGTAGGAGCCGTTAGCTGAACCAGGCTTTAAACAGGGTTGGACAGCAAGGTGGAAGGGCACAGAGGGGAGAAAGGTTGGTGGGAAGGTAAAAATGAAGATTAATTTTGCGTCAGGCTGACTCTGGCTATGCAAAATCATTTTATATTTAATTCCTGGATATTCAAAAAAGTAAATCAAAGAAAAATCTTCTGTACCACCTTGGTACAAGAGGGCTGTTAGTGCACTCCCATTTCTACTTTTTTGATTTGCCCTGTGGGTAGGATGTCTTCTTCTCCCATGTGTCTTAAGTCTTTACATTTCTCATACTCTGATAATGGCCCACCTGAGGCATTTTCTGGTTTTAATGACCCCTGTTAATACTGTCACCTGCCTAGCCATGTCCAGAAAGGCAAGAAGGTGTCAGGAAGCGGCTTCAGGGGCATCTAAGAGCACAGCTCGGCTCTCTTCCTGCTGCCAGTTGTGTGGATATGTGTGCGTGTGCGCGGACGTCTGTGCGTGTGTGGACATCTGTCCAGCTGCCACCCAGGGTTACCTGTGCCAGAGGAAGAGGCACACTGAATGGGTATCAACAGAAATAACACTCAAACACTTGCATTTCTGTTTGAATTTATTTCTGGTATTTTCTCTCCACTCTTCTACCTCCCCCACTTCCACCCTCAATCTCTTTGTTTAGGCAAATGATGATTACGATGGGTCAATAGCTTTCCTAAGCACATCCTTGCTGACAGCAAGGGGGGGAAGGCACGACTGATTTTTTTTTTTTTAAACACTTAGCATATTAATCCTTCCCCTCAAATTGAGAATTAGTTGTGGTATGATTGCTAACAAATACAAATTTTTAAGAAAAAAAAAGTCATCTCTGGAAGGCAATGGGTTTATAATTAGTTTGCAAAAACGGGTGCCTTTCCCTACATAATTAACTTCAGGCTGCTTTCTTCCTCTGGCCATCTCTCTGTCCTCTCTTCTCTGAAAACTAGAGACTGCAGTCTTGCCCTTCCACCCAGGAAACACATCAGGGTCCTGCCTGCCTTAAAAGCACATGTTCCCGCCAACCCGGGGCTGCTCTGTACTGTATCACCCAAGTCACTGCCCTTGAAAACAAACAGGCGATGCAGTAGTTACTTCCATAAAAGTAAATCGACATAATTTCATCAAGTCTTCTTTCCAACTTAACAGGGCATGAAACTAGTCTGCTGAATGAGGGCACATGGTGTCATGAGTATTTGAGTTGAGTGCATCAGCAGTATCAGCAGAAAGGGAATTGTTCATCGGCTTAAGTCCTTTGCCCATGAGAAGAAGAAAAACCAAAACCAAAAAACAAACAAAAAGATCCTTCTTGCTGGATAGCAGCTCATTGTCTAAATGAAGGTTAGCTCATTTGTCTTTTTTATGTTTCAAGTTTTCCCATTAGAACACATATATGGAAATGCTGTCATTAGGCCCTTCGGTCTTCCGGAGGCTCACAAGATCTTCCCACCAGCATCAAAAGCATGAGGACGCCTGCCTTTTGGGTTGTGTGTTACAGACTTGACAAATAATTGCAAGAAACAAACTTTCATCACAGAGTTAAAATATTTAATGACAAAATTAGAGTTAACTATAATCACGAATCATAAAGCAGGTATTACTTGTCTCTGAAAGAAATAAAAATTATATTTGACATCCTAGAGAAACTTCTGAAGAATTAATAACTGTACAACAGACAGCAGCGGTGTTACTATTCTAAAAATGAAAAGCAAAACCTATCTTTATTATCCCTTATCGAGGGCATTCTGTAAATATTTTTACATAAATACACAACCTTTGTTAGCCACAAAAGTAGTAGTATTAAGACAGATTTCACTGTAATTGTAAGTCTAACACAATCTTTATTTTTTCAGAGCTTAAAAAAAGTTAACTACTGATCTTGTTACATTTTACAAATACATTCTTTAATATGAAACATTAACCTGAATAACTGTATACATCCTGTACGCAGATTATCTAATACTAGGTGAGGACTACTACAGCTATGTTCCAGGAAGAAATGGTAATACTGGGAAGCTTCTTTTCTCTATGTGTTGTTGGTACAATTGAGGAAGTCCTTCACAGAGATAGAGTATTCCAAAAACTCATAATGAAGTGCAGAAGTGAAACAAACAAATTTACTGTCTTCTAGCAGCTTCACCCAATGAATTGGTCCCAAAGAATGTGACATTTTAGCAATTTGCTCTAGGTTAGACTGTATTAATGTTTTGTATCGCAGCACCTTCTGCGAAAGGATAGCAAAGAACTTCACATGTGTCATCACAGGGCAGCTCTGCAAGAGGTCAGGAGGTACAGGAAAGGCAGGGGGGGCTTGTTGTTCTGGCCTCGATAGGGTGTAGACCCCAGGGAGGTCAAGGGCATTGCTGGGCCCTGAAAGTGAATCAAGAGAAGGAGCTAATAGAGGTGTTCTTCTAAACCAAGCTATTTCCACTAAGACTGAAGTCTAAAAGGATAAACAGAGAGTGAAGCAAGAGGGCATGATGTAGAATGCTTACATTTCATGAAGAGTAGCTATCACAATTCTGTCAGGGAGCAAGAAGCTCATATTTCACAGTATACTTATGACCTCCTCCTCTGCTACTTTAGAAGCAGCTCTGCAAACACCCTTGTTAGATAGTTGGCAACAATTTTATTTCTGAGTTTGGCCGGTTGTTGGGAGGCTTAAGATTTACCCTTCCAATTATTCATACCAACTATCGCTCTCTGGAATCCAATTTCAGAAGATGAATATATCCATGGGCATGTGTGTTTTCTGAATGGAGGTCTACAAACAAAACCCATTTCAAGTGATATTTTGGGATTTTCTTAGAAATTAGAAATGCTTCTAATGGTACTCCTCAGACAGCAAGTTCCTTGCTTCTTTGACCTTTTTAGACATTGAAAGAAAAGTTCAAAATATTATAGTAAACTTACATAGTTCACCATATTAATTTCACAGAGCATTTTCTTGAACTGGACCATCTTCCTAAGAGGATTCAGAAATTTGTCTCCAGCAAACTGCATCTCCCTTTTGACAGGTACTAAGATAATTTTTTCCCCTATAGCCCAACTTTTGTCTCCCAGGGAATGCTTTATCAGGAGACATTAAGCTATCTAAATCAGCATAAATAATCCCCAAGTCATCTTGTGCTGCTCTGTAGGAGGCTAAAAAGCACGGACTCAGTCGGCGCAATGGGTAGGAGGATCCGAAAGGGGTCCTAAAGATTCACGCAGCTTAAAAACCAATGCGCTACAGTGGGAGGCTGGGTCTGTGTCTGGGATATGCGGCTTGCCTCCTTGTTTCACAGAGACAAAGCACAGCTTTTATGTTTAGTATTTAACCCTCCAAGAAAACTCCCAGACTCTGAACCTGGCATTCTCTGGAATAACGCAGAACCAGGAGGTGTGGGTACCGACTTTATTCGGTCTGACTACAGTTATGTAAAGGCTTCACGGCCATGTTTCATGTCAGCCCTTGCAAGTTGCAATGGCCATGAAATATAATTTGTCAAGACACCTGCACTTTGAATTACATTAAATAGACAGCAAGTAACAACATCAGAGCCTCCAAAAATCAGATACCAAGAAACTGAAGGCCATTTCCCAAGGATATGGTGAGGGTGTTTCTAAAATAGGCATGACGTTGCAAATAGAAAAGATTTTAACTGTAGTATCTTTTCACATTATCATTTACACAGACCTTTATCTGGACAAATCAATTCTTGATAAAAATCCCAAGCTCTTTTCAATATTGGCTGCCATAATTTGGGGCAATGACAAAAGAAAGAGACATTCATGAATGCACAGAGGTTTTTAAATAGGCTTTTCTTTATGTCTTTGATCTCAAGTTTTTCCCCTTCCTATGATAACTGCAAATAATCAGCACAGAAACAAGTACTGGAAGTATTTAAACTGCAGCTCAGAAAGTAGATTTCTATCTGTCATTCTGATTTTTTTTTTTTTTTTTTTTGGAATGCTGGTGATGGCTCATGCAAAAGATTACGACAGAAAAAGCAACATCTAAGACTGCTGTTTCCCCTGATAAATTCAATTGTTTGCCATAATACAGACTGGTGTTTCAAGATACGGAATCTTAACCTTCAAATTAAGAGTGGCTTGGAGACTGAGAGAAGCAATGACAAAGTGACAAAGTCACTGCTTGATTTCCAACCAGGAACAAGAACATCTGATGTCACCACATGAAAAGGTCTTCTGGCTTAATATCACATTTTTTTTTTTTTCCAAAGTAAATCTCTACACCCAAAGTGGGGCTTGAACTCACGACCCCAAGATCAAGAGTGGTGTCCTCTACTGACTGAGCCAGCCAGGCGCCTCTCTGGTTTAATGTCAAGAAAAAAAGACAACAACATGTTGCCAGTTTAGACCCAGCTCAGCATAACATTTGGTCCAAATTCCATATCCAAAGTACTGAAAAAAAAAAAAATTAGAGAAGACACATAAGAAGACTTATGTCTATACAGTTAAAAAAAATAAAAAAACCAAATGAAGCTGATGCCACTGCAGCATTTCTTAGCATAATCCTTAGTGAAATGTATAAACACTATGTCTCTTCTTTCATATTAACGTCTGAAAAGGAAAAGCAAAAAAACCTAAATGTCCGTATACTGGAGAAAAAAAAAAAAAGCAGAGGTCTGGAATTCTTGTAAAAACTGCTGAGCAAACTCTTCCATTTCTCTCGAGAGGGTCATTGCCGCGATAGGGAGTGTCTCAACACTTGTGCTTCATGGCAAGCTAAGGAGAAAGAGGGATGGCAAAGTTAAGCATTGTTAGCACTGGGGAGAACTCCCACGCTGCTCCCCTCCCCAAATCCATGATGAGAGGCAGCATCGAGGTTTTACTCGCTGTGGTGGATTGCCATATTATTCCCAGTGGCATCTAGTGGATGTGCAACATTTTCTCGAAGAGCCCACAGAGCACTGCCTCTGTTATTCCTCCTTAACAGTGGTTTCCTTGGTGTTCTGTGTCCTGCAGGGGGAGTGCACTATGCGGCTTGCCCGCCCTCCACTGAAGGGGCAGCCAAGGGCACAGGCAGAAGGAGGGACTGACCTAGGAACAGGTAGGAGTAGAACCCAGGTCTCTGGGTTGCTGGGTTACTAGTTATTCAGAAAGACCAACACTCCTCAAATATAAGTATTTACTGATATCTTATTAAGTATTAAAAATCAACTGTAGAAGAACAATTGGCATTAATCCACTCATTAATCCAGCCTGGACCTCCAACCAAGTTCAAAAGCTCTTGACGATGAAGCGGTGTTACTGACGAGATGCTGAACAAGAGACTGAAACCAGACCTCCATTTACCACTCCTCCTGCTGGTATTCGAGAAAGAGTTGGCTTGCTGAAATGTTTGACCTTTATGATGGGAACGCTAATACCACTGTGTCATTCAGTAACTTCCCAAGCCCAGCTAGAGCCCATGATGATATACTGAAGGCAACACAGGCAGGTACGGAACGTTAAGTTAAATCTGACTTTGCTTTTCTTACATCCTTTCCAAGGAGCCCATACCCTGAGATGACCCTGAAGGCAGGGCTGAGCCTGAACTGTAATTCCTCACGTGTCCAGCCTCTGGCATTAGGGAGGGGATTGGGACTGGGAGTAGGAGACAGGTTCTGCCACTCAGAATGGTTTGGAGCAAACAGCTGGTGGTTCTCTATGGGCAACAGCTCTGTAGAAAGCCTTGTCTGCTTCACGACCAAGTTCTTGGTCCTTAAAGAATGCTCCAGGGAGCCCTCTGATTCCACACAGTGGCAGTGGCCATCTTCTGGGCAGTGTCAATGACCCATCTCTCCTGTATAACCCAGGGCCTTCGGGTCCACCTTCCCTTTCCTTGATGTCTTCAAGAACAAAGTCATAACCCTGCGGCTGCCACCTCAGACCACCTGCGAGAGCAGCAGACACTGCTTGCTTGCACCTTGCACCAAGCCAGGTCAGCATGGGATGGAGGGGGACGTGTGGACCTAGCCCTCGGGCTGCTAAACTCAGCTCTCCTGGAAGAGCTCCCCGTGCCTCTGCCTGGGGAAGGCAGCCTCAGTGAGACCTCTGCAGACCCTCTGCGGGGCAGACACCAGGACTGTCAGCCGTCGGACGGTGTGTGTGAGCGTGCTCCCGATGCTGCTGGGCTAAGTACTCAGAAAGGTGGAAGTGGCTAAGGACTCCTGACCTTGGAGAGTTTATGGTCCACAGACATGTGAGGTGTCTGACCTGTTCCAGGGCCCTGTCTTCCACAGTCCCTCCGCTGTAGGGACTCCACTTCTTGCTCTGTCTCCAGTTTTAATACATTATTCAGCAACGTGGACCATTCCAATCAACACAGAGCTGTTAAGTGTTGTACATAATGAATACCCAACATAAATATTTGATCAGCGCTGCTGTCCTGTTATTCACGGAGCTGTTAACCTTCAGCTAATGGGCTCATGCCAATTCACCCACAGTCATTAATTTTCAACAATAACTGTACCACTGCTCGCACCGGGCCCTGGTTACTGCTACCGTGGGTCTTGGATGCCCCTGAATGGAGCCCCTGCCAGGTGGGGCCCTGGCCAGCTCAGCATCGCAGAAATATGATGGGACTGGATCCTTAATATTTAAAGTATCTTTGCAGAAAGTGGCATCATTTCCACGCTACCTAAGGTGTTTTTGTTTTTGCTGTTGTTTTTTAAAATTCTCTGGGAGTGAGAAGTTTTGGAATATGGAAGGCAGGGTGTTGCTGCTCCTCTTCTCCAAATTTGCTGCATGACCTTGAGCCCTAGACTCAGAACTGCTCCATACCTCCATCTTGTCATGTTTATAAATATCCTCTGTAACTCAAATGCTTATGGATCAGTTTAGATGTCAGAGTTCTTACAGAAGAGGAGATAAAAATTTCCTTCGGGTGTATTTTGTTTTCTTACTATCTCACGGAAAGCTTTCTCTTTCAAAGCTGTGTAAATTACTCCCTCTAAACAGTAATAAATTGTTACTCATATGGGGGGAATTTTAAGAGGCCTGGACTCTTGAGGTCCCTTCTGGTTCAGGGACCCAAAGGAAGTGGGTGACTATAGTGGGGACAGAGGCAGCCGCTCCCTGCTGGTGAGAGAAATGCCACTTACTCCCCTCTCCCCCTGCAAGCTCGAGCTTGTACAGAACAGGGCAGCTCAGTGCTCCTTCCTCTGAGAACTGTCATCTGAGGCTGCCTGGGTGTGGGTGCTGCCTTCGCCTGCGGGCTCACTGCCTGGGGCGGGTGTCCGAGCACGGCATACACGGCAGCACTGAGTTTTCTGGGGCAGTGGAGAGTGAGCAGGTCTGCTCTGGGGCTGCGCTGTACTTCCCTAAGGGCTGAGACGGGGCCAAGCCCACAGCTCAGGAAGGAACCACGCTTTCTCAAGGAGGCCGAATAGAGCTGGGGGAGAGGGGGTGCAAGAACACTTTCTATCTGCTCTCCTGGAGATGAGCACCCAGGTATCTTGGTGGTGGGGCTGTGTGAAGGTGGTCCACTCACTGATGTACCTGGGTCATTGCAGGAGTCCTGGGAAAAGTCAGAAAGATCCTTTTGACTGCAGTGTAGGAAAGTGTGCCATAGTCAATTGGGGAACACGGAGGAGCCATCCCCTGGTTTTGCTGTGGTCTGCGAAGGGTGCTGGCACATACCCCCTGTCTTAGCCCGGAAACACAGCCCACTATGAATCAACACAGCTGCTTGTCTGGGGAGGGGGTGGAAAGTTGGCTTCTGCCTCTGAACGCTGTCCTCACCAGCAGGTCTGGTGGAGGCTTGGCTGGGGAAATGACACCTTCATGGTCGGGCCATGCCAGTGGGTTTAGATCTGGAGTCCTAGTCCCTGGGAAAAAGCCACACCTTAACTAAAGAGGTCACTCTCCTTGTGAGGAATGCTGCCAATGCTGGTGCTTCACAAGCATATTTTAGAAAACCACGTCTGGCCAGGACAGTGTCTAGCTCCTGCTCCCTCACACGCCCTAATAGACACCAGCAACCCCTTCACCTCCCTCTTAGAACACCCACAGGCAGGGAAGCCAAAACCAGGGCAGACTGCCCCCTCTATCCTCCATCTCTCCTGGAAATAGGCTGCTGGCTGGCACCAATCCTCCTACAGGTCAAGGCCAGAGGCCCCTTGCCTCTGGTGGCCTAATCAGTTTCTTCTCTGACAGGCCCTGTTTCAAGGATTGTTCTGTGTTTAGAAAGTATTGAATTTAGTAGAAGCCCTGCCCACCCCACTTTGGGGGGCACAAAATCTTCATCTCCAAGCCCTCCCCATCCCTTTGTTGGGGTCCTCAATCACATTTCTCCATCCTCCTACAGTGCTCGTTGTAGGATGGTATAAGGCAGGTTCAAAAGAATCATTTTCATGGAAATTATTATCGCCAGTATTAATTCAGACTTGTATATGTCAGGTATTGTGATCATAGATTTATAGGTTTGAATTCATTCAATTCTCTCAATGCCCTAGGAGACGGCAACTGTTATTAATTATCCTTATTTTACTGATGAGGAAACTGGGGCTTAGAGAAATTAGGCACTTGCCCAAGGTCACTGGGATGGTAAATCAAACACAAGATGCTAACCACGCCAGACTGCCTTCCCATGCACCCAGCACACTTGGCCACAACATCAGGGAAACAGGGCAACTGGGGCCAAGAATCATGGCCATCTGGTCAGGTTAACCACCCCAGTGTTTGTACAACCACCTCCGAGGGGGACGCCCACATGGGTGACTTCCAGGTATTGTCTACTCCGCCTTAGGAAGAACGATTTCACAGACTTCCTTGGTAACCCAGCTCAGGATCTCATCATTCACCTAAAGTCTGGTTTTAGCAGAATCTTATCAGTGCACTGCTGAATGCTCTATTTTGTATGGCAAGGTTCAAACTGCCTGTACTATTACCCACCCCCCCAAGACTTGAAGATAATTAAAAAATAACTCCCTTTAGCCTTCCCTTCCCCAAATCAACACTTTGAATGTTTCTCCAGACTTCCACTACCGCCCCTCCGCCAATCACAACATTTGCTGTGGTTATAAATGAAGCCAGGGTGGGAATTCTAGTGTTCCCATCTCATCCTTATTTCTGTCTCACAAAGGCTGGAGAAAGAAACTTAAATATGTACCTTATGGAAATCTTAAGTCTGAGATCCCTCTTTCCGTGACATGCGGTGAGCAAGGGTCTGCCCTCGAGCAGGGCCAACTGCGTTTTCAGCCAGATCTGGCCAGGTCTTCTCCAGGGAAGCCCACATGGGCCCTGGAGGCAGGGGTGTGATAAGACCCCAGCAGGACAGAGAGCTGATGACACAAGGAGACAGATCTGGGTAACAGGAGCAGGACAGGAAGGCAGGAAGCATCCCCTCGGGGTTTGGATCCAGAGTTCGCCCTGGGAATGAGCCCCTGGGCGAGGCCAGCTAGCCTCAGCTAGGGGACCTTTCTTGTCACTTTTCAGGTGGTTCTATTCTCGCTTCTTCAGCAGAGCTGGGATTTTCTGTTGAAGTAAGTTAACTTTTTCCCCAAAGGTCACCTGAAAAGCCTATCTGGAAGGCCGGATTGTGATTCGGAGATGCCAACAGTTATCAGCAGGGGTTGTTCCTGGAAACCTAAATTCCAATCCCTAGCCAGACAACTGCCCTCTGACCTGAAGCACAAGATCAGTCGTAAATCCTCTTTATCACCTAACAGGGCCGCTCTTTCTGTTGGTTTGCGACTGCCTCAGAGCTGGCTGCCAATAAAAACTACCCTTTCCCCTGCTGAAAGGCACATTCTTCGGGAGCGTGTGAAAATGCACGTGTGTGCCTGTGGTCACGTGGGAAATGCCATGACCCGGATTCAGAGCATGTAGGAGCCCTGTGGGCAGCTCTGCACGAGTCAGGGCAGGCTTCGAGATCCAAGCCCTCTTGCAGAGGGGCAAGCAGCCCTGAGGTACCCTGGGTGTGGGGGACTAGAACTTGCTTTTTATACAGCGAAGAGATAAGAACACAGGATGCTGGGCTCATGACCGTGACCGGAAAAGGATGGCAAGGAAAAGTACACAATGACAGACCCAAGTCCTTTTTCAAGCATTGGCCACTGGGGGAGGGATATTCGTGGATCTGACTTCTTCCACCCCCATTCTCTTCCCTGAAACTTGAGCCCTAAAATCCTGGGCAGGAACTAAGTATGGTCGGCATTTCCGAAAGATCCAGATCCATTGTCAGAGAGAGACATTAGCAAGGAAAGAAATGAAGAAATGGGTACATGAAGAAATATTTTATGATTCTGGTACTTACTAAGCAGCAGGATGTATTGGGGGGCGGGGAGGGCTTGATTTTATATCTTCCACTATGGGAAATGCACCTAAAAAAGTTTCTTGGAGCCAAAGCTCCCTGAGCTTCCAGAGTGGAGACCTCCGCGCCCCTGTGGGACCCACCTTGTGTGCAGTCTCCGCGAACTGCTGGGCGCTGTTCTTCATGTCTTCCGTCTTCTCTTCTGCTCGGCCTAACCGCTCCCCGCGCTCATTCAAGGCCTGGCTGGCTTTCTGTACGGCGCTGGTCACGCTGTCTGCTGCCGAATGGAGGATGCTGTTTCCTGAAGAAGCATAGCAAGAGCATGAGAGGCTGCTGGGGCTGACCTCTGGCAACAGATCCTGTGAGGGCTGGGCACCTGCAAGGGCAAGGGGGTTCCCTCCAGAGAAGCCTCGGGTACCTAGGAATCCGTCAACATTTCTTGGGAGCTTGTTGAACTGCGCATGTGTAGGAAGAGGACCCACAGCCTGCAGGACTCGGGCAAATGCCGATGGCTCTCTCACATCCCTTTCATTAACGTAGCCCTCACGACCATTCTCCTGCCATTGTGTCTGGTGAGGGTCCAAGGGACATGCTATTTGGATTTAGGACTGGGCTTGCAAAAGCAAATGGAAATCCTGACAAATTTATACAATTAGGCAAGTTCAATGAGATATATTTGGGTCTTACGGACATATCCTCTTCACCTGAGGTTTAAGTGAAATCCCACCAGAAAAGGGGAGCAGAACCTTTTCTGAGAGAATGCTCTGTATTTCTTTTAACTCTTCCCTTCCATTTTACCCTGTCATCCTTAGAAGCATGGCTTCTTATGAGAAGCTGTGAATCGGTCTCAGAGTTCAGAGGAGATGTGCCAGCCCCCAACCTTGAATCTTGAGCCATGGCTTGGTTGGCTGGGCTTTCTTGGCTCTGATCTCCAGTTTATGAAATATGGGGCCTCAAAACTGCACTTAGCCAGGAGGTAGAAAATGGTGACAGAAACCAGCCTTAGAAGGAACTGAGCATTTCCAGATTCACGAGAATATTGAAAACCACCACATTTCAAAGGATTGTGTATCCCTGACATCCCATTTGCCAGGATGGAAATACAGAATTCAACAGTGGATGCATAACCCACTGAGAACAAGCAACTTGCAAAATTACAACCCAAGAAAATTTATAGCTGTATTTTGTTAACATTGAGTGAAAGATAGTTAATAGCATTTTAGGTATTAGCCTTACGTCTTTGAATAAGTTTATTACATCATTTAACTTTGTACTTGAGATGGATGCACCTAGCCATAGACAGCTTTTAATAGAAATGTAATTTCCCTTGGTTTCAGCTTGTAAAGGCTTCTTAATTTCTCCTCTGTGGGACAAGTCTGTGGTTTGTGGAACAGAATCTCAGGCAAAGAAAGTGCCTGGTGCCTACAAAGGACTTGTAAATTGTTTCCCATTTTTCTTCTCTAGGAATAGATTTTAAGGGCTTCTACTATGTGCTAAGGGGAGGAGAATGGGGGTAACTTAGTTGTATTCCTCAGTTGTGTTAAGCACTGCATGAGCCAAGATAAATCAACACAGATTAATAGAAACTAACAGAGATGAGGCTCTGGAGGAACTGGTTGAATATAAGGATTGGAATGGAAGGTCTAGGTCTTAAGAACAGATGGAGGAGGAGGAGAAATCTTGGCCCCACTCTTCTTTCACATCATGTTCATGACTATGATGATAGCCCACGTTAGACCATTCCCTAAGATGTGGATAGCATTTTGCAATCTTAAGCACCTTGACAAATATCTCATTTGACTGTCACACAAGTTCTTCTGAGAAGACTGAGACTAGTTAAGGTTAAGTGGCTTGCGCAAGATCATATCCCTAAGGAAGTGGCATGGGCAGCACTGGAACCTGATTTTCCAATGACTTTTCTTTATTCTGTAGCTTTCTCTTTGCAGGTATGGTGTAGGTTGTGGGAAGCAAGACAAGAAGACAGAATTGTGAGCAGACTAGCGGAGACAGATTTGACAGGTTGTTTCCCAAGGTAATGCCTGACTATTTCTGTCCTTAAGGTATTCCTCTTGGTCAATGAAGAGTTAGTGCCCATGCCGTATTCTAAGTCAAGTGGTCTTGGGAAGAAAGAGGCCAGTGGGATGGAATGGGAAGATGGAAAGGACTGGAAGGGGCAAAGGAGTGGGCGGAACACACTAAAATTTTCTCCCTTTCATGCTTCCTTTCACATACCCACAGCTTAGCCACCAGAGGCTAGGGAAAATATGGGGCAGGGAATCTGCGACTTCACAGCCAGGAATAGCTGTATTAAACGAAGGGATTTTAGAATAAGCTACCATAAAATTAGAAGGGTATGTAACTAGGACTTGTCTTTTCCCATCGAAATTGACCCTCATGTCCTCCAGGTTAGACACCTCTGTGTTTTTGGAATAAGTCAAATTGTTTCTTGTCATGACTTCCTGAATCTTGTACAAGATATCAGGTAACACTGCATCCAGTTTTATAGGATACTGTTTAGCCAATGGGCATTATCACTAAGAGAGAACCAAATGCTGTCTTCAGTATTCAAAGATGACACTGATTACCACAATCAATAGAAAACCTACCTCCAGTTATTTTCAGACATGAGGATGGATTTGAACATATCCCAGGGCCTTGGTAGAAATGACCTCTCTCTCTTGGTTTCAATTCTAATCAATTTCAGGCTCAGTGAATGAAGTCTTATCATCTTTGTCAAGCTTCAGGTCAACTCCACACCCTCCTTCCCCTCAACTCTGTAAGACCTGTCTATATCCTTCGTAGGCACTTACTCAAGGAAATTCATAGGCAACTTTTCTACCTCATTTCTTCACCAGTAGATGATAAATTCCCCAAGGTCACCATTTCATTATATTGGCCATTCCCTAAATCTTGAATCTTCCTCCTCTTTACTCAGGTCTCTTGCTTGCTTACTTCCTTCTCTCTGAGATCTTGCTAAAGCTGCAGTTCCGGGCTTCTATCCTTGGCCCTCTTCTCTCTCTCATCTATAGACTCTCCATAGATCAATTTACTCAACTCCCGGCACGACTGAATTCCATCTTTCACTAGGTTGTGCTGCTAAGGTCTGGACCTGTATGTTTTCTTACTTGACAACTGCAGTGACCCAAGGTCACCTGGAATTCATTATGTCTAAACCTGACCCCTCTGTCTTTTCCCTTCATGCCTGCTTTTCCTTTGGGGTCCCCAGCTCAGTGAACAACCCACACTATCTGCCCAGTTCCTCAATTCAGAAATCTGGTGGTCCAGTCTATATCCTCCCTTTTACCCTGTAGAGCTAAAGCTCTCCTTTTACATAGTTCTCTACTTTGTTCTCTTCAACATCTTCACTGTTTCTGCATTGACCTAGTTCCTCCTGCTCTCAGAGTTCTAGCAATAGCCTTTTGTCTAGCTGTCTCCACACCTTTTTTTTGGGTTCATCTTCCACACTTTCATACTAAACTTTTAAAAAGGTGAATCTGTTACCATCTCCCCACTCAAAAGATAAAATTGAGACTTTTTTTTTTTTTTTTAAATCGAGACTTCTGCCTTGCCTTTCTCTCAGCTCATCTCTTACGCCTTACAAAATTACCTATATTTGTACAGATGTGTCAGGTTTCTTTTACTTATATGCCTTTACATTGTTATCTCTGCCTGGAACCCTGCTTCTCATCTTAGCCTTCCCAAAGTGGCTCCATCAATACCCTTCAAACTCCCTCTTAGGGAACCTTGTCATGTCTAGCTCACCCTATAGCCTGGCTGCTGCTAACACACACATTATCTTGTGTCTATTTCAAATGGTGCACCTACAGGGTGCCTGGGTGGCTCAGTTTTAAGCAACTGACTCTTGATTTTGGCCTAGGTCATGAGCTCGGGGTTATGAGATTGAGTCCCTCACTGGGCTCCATGCTCCGTGGGAAATCTGCTTGAGGTCTCTCCCTCCTTCTCCTTCTGTCCCTCCCCATGCACATACACTCTAAAATAAATAAAAATCTAAAAAAAAAAATCCTATAATGGTGCATTGACTTCATGCATGTAATGTTGTTATCTAGGGTAAACTTCTTGAGGGCAGGGACCATGTCTTTTTCATTTCTGTATTCCTGATCCATGGCACAAAGCAGATCATAAATGTTGGTTGAGAGGTAGGAGGTATGTATCATCCTTTCTATGATTTCTTCATGGCTTGGCAGTGGGTTGGACATATAACTGATGCTGTCACAAGATCTGACAAGTTACTGAAATTCTAAACTTGCCAAGTGACTAAGGGGTTAGTTTGTGTCTAATGGAGTTAACTATCTCGTTTAGCAATTGTGCCAGGAATTCAGTGGAGTTAAATAAAAAACAAAATGTAGGGGTGCCTGGGTGGCACAGCTGGTTAAGTGACAGACTCTTAATTTTGGTTCAGGTCATGATCTCAGGGTTGTGAGACTGGGCCCCATGTCAGGCTCTGTGCTCTGCTTGGAGTCTGCTTCAAATTCTTTCTCCCTCTCCCTTTGCCCCTCCTGCTCGTGCTCTTTCTCTCTCTCTCCCTTAAGTAAATAAATAAATCTTAAAAAACAAAAACAAAACAAAAAAACCCCAAAATGTAAAAAGGGGAATGCATTTGCTATAGTAAAAGGCAAGGGGAGAAGTTGATAAAGAATGTTGTTACTAGCCTTAAAACAAACTGTAAGTTATAAAAATAACCGACATTAAACAGCTTAATAAATAAATCCAATGTAAAAATAACAGTTTCCTGAACACTTGCTATGTTTTAGGCACTTACTAAGCCTGCCTCTCACAACCACCTTACGTGATGGGCATTACACGGTCCCACTTCTATCAATGGGAGCATCAACATCAAGAGAGAGGCTTAGCAATGTGCCAAGGATCACGCAGTAAAGAAATAGCACAGCTAAATTTTGAATCCAGGAAGCCCACCTCTAGAGTCAGTTCTCTTCCTCATTGTGTTAAATGGGTTCTCCATGGGAATTTTCCTATATGAGATTAATGACAAAATCTGTATTAACTGGGTGGAAGAAGACCTCAGGGCAGTAGTTCCTCATTCATCCCTTAAAAATCACAATACAAAACAAAATATCCTCTCATTAGAAGTTAAAAAAACTTACTGTAGAAAATTTAGAATATATGTTACTATAAAAAAGTGATAAAATCTGTAATAGTCAATTGCTTAGAGATAAGAACAATTGATATTTACATTTTATTCTAGTAATTTTTCTGTATATGCTTTTCTAAAACACGGCAGAGACCACACCACATACATTTAGTCCACATTGTATTGTGGAC